AAAAACATCATATGAATACCATTGCAGAAATAAATCTATACCAATACACGAAAACTATCATTGCATAAATAAATGTATGCCATAACACGAAAACTACCAATATAAACAATCTATACCATAAACAATCAATACCATTGTAGAAATAAATCTATACCATTACACGAAAACTACCAATATAAATAATCTATACCATAAACAATCAATACCATTGCAGAAATAAATCTATACCATTACACGAAAACTACCAATATAAACAATCTATACCACTGCACATAAGAAAGAGAGCAGCAGGAGAGAGAGTATCGAGGGACAAACATGAAGCTCAAAATACGACAAATGAAGCTCTCTCAATTATTGTCTTTGCCCTTTCCTCTCCTGCTTCTCGTACCTTCTGCTTAGTAAAGATGAAATCTTTTCGTCCAGGATTCGATTAAAGGCTCATCATCTCAACTACCCAAAAGTCTCAATCGATACAATAATTCCATTTGAACCCCGGAATCTGCCTGTATCATCCCATCAGCTTTAATAGTGGGGGGAAAGCTTCGATGGGTTATCGAAAGAGAGAGAGTACCGAGGGTGGTCGGGGGCTGCTGTCGGCGGTGGCCGAGGGTGGTCGGGGTTGCTGTCGGCGGTGCGACGGGAGTGGTACGTGGAGGTTTGGCTGGAGGGAGGATAGAACTAGGGTTTAGGTAGATTATATAGAATAATCAGGTGTTGTCACTTTTTAATTTCCAAAATTACCCTAAAAGAATCTTGACCGTAAGATTAAAAAAGAAGGGAAAATAATTAATCAAATGGTATATAAAGAGGTTGCCACCGTAATTACTAAAAAACAATTAATCACCCTAACCCATTTCCTGGTGGAGGTCCTAGCAACAAATTTTGTAGCGGCGAAAGCCCCGTCACTGGCCACTTCGATCCAACAGTGACAAGCCCTCTCAAATCCCTGAAAAACTATATTTAACAACGAATTTATCAACGATTCAAGAAAAGCGTCGCTAAACATTCAAATTCCAGAATCTTGCAGCAACTTTTAACCTTCTGTTGCATTTCAATTTTTACTTTCAAAAAAGTGACATTACTAGTATCCATACTACATAATTGTACCAATTAAGTAACTCGAAACTCACATAATCTCACTTGTTTCAAGCTCAACAACCAAAAATTGCAAGCAAAGGAATAATCTCACATATTTAAGTTCTATCAATATCCATATATAAAATATAACTATGCTTTTCTCTGAATCGCCCAAGTCATGATTGCATGTCACATCTTAACCTGTTACAAGGACAACCAAAACAAATAGAATTCTCGTCGCTTCTACTAGCTGAATTCAAGGAAAGAAAAAAGAATCACTAGAAACACAAAACAATAAGAGAAATAAATTGAGATTGAGATAAAAACTACTGTTAAGATCGAAAGCTGGAGGAGAAATAAACTGAGGAGAATAAACATACCATCCATGGTTGTTGTTGCAGTGAACTCTTTGTTTCGATGTGAAAACGATGAGATCGAACGCAAAGTGTGAAATCAGAAAAAGTTCTAGTAGAGTACACACTCCACAATCAGAACCAAATACAACTGTAGACACCAAAACCATTATAGTTAATGATAGCAAACCAGAACCAAACACAACTACAGACACCAAAACTGTTATAGTTAATGATAGCAAACCAACAGAAAATCACAGTCATACATACCCTTGTAAATTGGCTAATTTACAATCTTTACGACCAAAAACAACTTCCTATCTCTGTGATATGAGTATCTCATGAAACAAGCATAATCACCCATTCTAACTTCCAAGACATGTTTGCCAGTGGTAGCTCTATTAAAAAAAATAACTAACAAGCATATCATACCTCTGCATTCCAAAGCCATGTCTTCAACCTCTTAAGCACAAAATTGAAGTTTCAAAGCTTGATGACTTTGCTCCTTGATGTAAGAAACCGACTACGCAACCGAGAAAGAGAGTTTTTTCATCGAAAACCTAAATCGAATAAACATGGAAAGCAAGAAATTAAATAAACTAGTTCTTACCTGCGGACGACAATAGAGAAATGCTATACTTCCGTTCTTACTGGTAATCAACCAACTACCACACTTAAAGAACACAAACACCAACAAAATTAAATAACAAAGAAGTTGACGAAAGGAACAACTAATCCAGGTTGGCGGGAAAGGAATACTTACATAGTTACATGTCTCTTATGTCACAGGGTCCAACTCAAGAGTACTCTTGTAACATCGACTTTCATGGATATATGCAATCTATAAAAAATGAATTAGTGATTCAGTGCAAAAGACCAGATTTAAGTTCTTCTATATATTTCTTAGCTCTCTCATGTTTCCTAGATTTAAGTTAATAAAACTCGGGGCCGGCCCAGATGGTGTGCGGGCACGCCCTCCGGCACAGGGCGTCCAAATTTTGGGGGCCTCCGGACTTTTATATGAATAATTATATTCACGATTATTGGATTTTGATTATAAATTTAAAATGGTTGAAATTTATGAATTGTGTTCTGATTATGGGTTTAAAGCAATAAAATTACAAAATTTAAGAACGAACGGATCACATGAGAAAAAAGTTGCTTTCTTAATTATTAAAATTTTCTCAAACCATATAACAGAATTCATTTTTTTCGTGTGTTTCCTAAATATAATAAAAGATGTAAGATTGGTGATGCGCCATTATTAGCATTATTAAATTTTTTGCTTTAAGTTTCTTCATTTCAACATTCCAAGGAGAAAAATAATTTAATTTTGTTAATTAATCTGTTTGTACTAGCAAGACAGAAATGCTAAATCAATTAAACAATTCACATTGATTTATTAAATATTAACCGAAATAATTAGGTACAAGCCACCAATAGCAAAAACGGAAAAATAACTAAATCAATTATAAATAGTTTGTACCATACTTAATTTTAGACTAAAAAAATTATAAGTTTCTCCTAACTAATTTAGTTTATTCTATTATTTGTTTATACTAATTGATTTTTCTAAAATTATAATCAATTTTTTAATTACATCTTAATATTTAAGTCATTGTTACTGGTTGTTACAAATCATATTATATAGATATTATTCTTAAATAATGGAATGATATTTATTTATCAATTGATGGTTTGTTTATATTTTATTATATATTTTGTAAAAATAATTTGGCACGTTCTGTTTGCAGAACAGGGCCTCCAAAATCTCAGGGTCGGCCCTCATAAAACTGAGTTACAACATCAATACACTCTTTACCATCGATTTATCTTCTATGAGTCACATCTAAAGCATTTTTAAACTCCTAATACAACAATACCAAGATAAGAAGTACCTTTTTCCACAGAACTGAGCTTGCCACCACAATCACTTAGGCATGTTTAATAGGCTAGCCACTAATCGTTGATCTATAACCAACTTTCTTAATCATAGTTGCTGATTAAATTATGAGAGCTAGCATGTTGATATTACAATAGAGTTCAATTTCTCCAAAACCCTCCACGAGACTTGTTTAACATAACATTTTCAGACTTGAGTCATCCATCTACCTGTAGCTACGAAAGCAAGAATGTACACCAGCATGCATGAATAGAGCTATATGGCTGGGAAACATACCCTTGAATGGCTGCAACTTGAGGATTTGCGTAAGGGGAATACTACTAAACCTTCAAAACTTGCAATTCATTCTCCCTCCACAAGGTATGCTTCCACTTGCCCAAGTAGCTCTGCCTCTCCTTGTCATGATCTTTGGCCACCCACAACCACTCAAAATCCACTTCTTCCCACCATACGATTTCAGCTACGACCTTTGCCAGAACCCCAACCGGAATGCGTTAGCCTGGTTCCTTATTTTTAAGCAGCCACCATGGCTACCTCTTTTTTGGCCATACAGATTAGAGAAATTCAATCTGAGGGTCCATTTTGTTGAAGGGTGTTTACGGAAAGGACCACATAATCATTACTAGGCCCGAAATCATAGCCTTGCCCCACGCTTCCCTTCTTTATTGTTCCTTTCCTTCTCAACGCAGCTCCCAAACCCAAAACCCTTTTTCCTTGTCCCTTTTGCAGAGAGCAGAAGCTTCTCTGTCCGCCGCGATTTCTGCTTCTCTTTCCGCCGCAATTTCTCTCCGGCATTGTCCGCCGCCGCCGCATTCTCTGTCCGCCGCCGCATTCTCTCTCTGGCGCCGTGGTCTCTCTCCGGCGCCGTGGTATCTTCCGTCTTTACCATCCATCCCTCGCGCAAACAGAGAAGGGAAGGGTTTTCTGGACCGTCGCCGCCGTCGTTCCTTTCTAGCGAGGGTTGTCATTCATCTCCGACGGCGCACCGGCGACATTCAGCTTAGCTCTTCCAGCAACCATTCCCGTTGTCGGCTGTGAGCTACTGATCTGAGGTTCGTCTCCCGCTTAGTTTCCACCTGTATGTGAAACCGTGCTTTTTGATGTGGAATGGTAGTGTTATGTTTGGAATGGTAGTTTTTTTGCTATTTTGAAATGTAGTGTTATGTTGGAATGGTATTCTTTTGTGCAGTTTTCTTTCATGCATTGGTAGTTTTCTACATACATGTGAAACCGTTCTTTTTTTATGTGGATTGGTACTGTTATGTTCTCCATACATGTGAATCTGGTAGTTTGATGTGGATTGGTAGTCTTCATTTGGATTGGTAGTTTTATTACTGTTTTGAATTGTTGTGTCATGTTGGATTGGTAGTCTGCATTTGGATTGGTAGTTCTTTACTGTTTTCGTTCATGCATTGGTAGTTTTCTGTATACATGTGAAACCGTGCTTTTTGATGTGGATTGGCACTGTTCTGTTCGAATGGTAGTTTTTTTAGTTTTTTTGAATGGTGGTTTCCTTTCATGCATTGGTAGTTTTCTCCATACATGTGAATCTGGTAGTTTGATGTGGATTGGTAGTCTTCATTTGGATTGGTAGTTTTTTCCCATGCAACGGTTGTGATGCTTGATTAATGTTAAATGACTTACCTCCCATTTTTCCAATTTTAGGAATGGCAAGACCCAAGAACCCCAGTCGTAGGGGCTCAAAACACAAGGAACCTGTTACCTACAACAGTCGTCAGGTTCAAGTTGGAAGTGGGCAAACCTCGGACTCTATTGATGAAGCTGTGCCGCAGAAGGATATGGGTAAATCTAAACCACCTGGGAAGAAGTGCAGCCCCGCATCGATTATATCAATTGTCGAGAATGGTATAACAAATGCAAGGATAGAACTAATAAAGAAGCTCGGATTGGATTTTGTTTTCCATTTGAAGATGAAAAGGTTTGACAGCGAGCTCCAATACGTCTTACTCCAAAACCCCTCCAGTGTGCGAAGTTTTTGTAGAACTTGACAAATGCTTCCCTATTTTCAAATCTCAAATGCTGCCATGTCGATTTGTCGGCCGAGACAACTTTATACACCTGATCTGCAATTTGTAAAACAATAATTAATCACTACCATTCCAATAACTCATACTACAACTAACAAAGCACTACCATTTGTTCCAAATATGCCAAAAAATAACTACCATTGTAGTAGCTAATACAAAAATCAGAACCAATACCAATCCAATCAAACTAATACCAATGCGATACGAACTACCAATAGCAATCCAACATATACCAATGTAAGGACTACCATTATTCCTAAACAAGTACGTAACAATACCAATCCGAAACATGTATGCAGAAAACTACCACTCCATGAAAGGACTACCACTGCAAAGAAAGGACTACCACTGCATGGAAAAATTCACCTTCACCTTCGTCAGAATTGTCAAAAGCGTCGCCTACAAAGCCTTCTTCCACAGATTGATCTCCGACGATACCAGACCCTTTGCAAGGATTTCCGACCAAAAGGGATGTTAATTTTTTGCCGTTCAAGCAAAAGCATACAATCATGAATGGTTTAGATACTTACCGTCGTCGCTTTGGATCGCCATATCCTCTTCCTCGCCACCAGAAATAGGACTTTCTCCGAATAACACTTCCATTGCGATCCTTCTACGCTCTACCACATCCGGCGATGATGCAACGTCGGCGGTCGCCATTGAAGCAAAGTCGGCGGTCGCCATTGAAGCAACGTCGGCGGTCGCCATTGATGCAACGTCGGCGATGATGCAACTCCGGCAAAAAAAGTGGACTTCGAAGTGTACACGGCGGCAGAAATAGGGCTGGCCAAAAAACGTGCCATTCAAAAAACCCTACGATGATTAAACTACCTAATAATTAATTACCGTAATTATCTCTTCCTAATTAATTGCGTAATTAAAATGGTAGTTTGAATTAGGATGGAAGCAAAATACCCTTCTTATCCCTAGTAACCACCATGGTTACTAACACTAAGTATCCACCATAACCTCTCCCAACCCCAACCACAAAAGAGGAATCCACCATTACTGCGTCTGCGAGTTCGACGCACATATCGCATGTACGATCTTTGAACCGCTCAATGGGACTACTGCTATATGCAAATCCACATAAAAGCTCTGCCTCTCCACCAGAAGTTGTTGCAATGCACATCAGCAGTTGGCCGCCAACAGATCCACGGAGACATCATCAACTACTTAGCCCATCGACGATGATGAAAGAAATCAATTCTCCATTAAATCAAAACTGATTGTCAATAAGATCCGACTTGATAAGGCTTTTCTTCCAGATCTCCGCTGCTACGCGTTACGGCCGCTGTGATATACACTACTCGTCAGTCGCCGCTCTCATCTTATCGCAACAGAAGACCGTCGTGGCCGGATTTGGGATTCGCTCCGCGAATTCAAAATCTCCCATTGTAGCTACTATGCCAAATGAACCTGAAATCTCGGTTCCGCCTGAACCACCGCTGTTAGGAACTCTCCCCTCCAACAAATTTCATCGTAACTAACAAGGATTTGGTCTAGTGATAATACTACTCCCTTTCAACTTAAAGATAGCAAGTTCGATTCCCTGAAATAGTACCTAAACCATAAAAAAGTGAACCTAATCACCCTTATCCAAAAAATAAACAATTCCCAACCTAATGCTTGATAGGGCTCCGACGGCTCTACATGAAGACCGAGGAAGTTTGAATTAAATTTCGAAAATGATGAGCATGCCTCTGTATGTAAATCATGTGGTCAAGCATTAATTAATGAAAGTCAGACTAGCGTGTTCTTCAATATCGATATTGCATACAACACGCATATAAGAGTGTAGAAAAGCCACAGAATTTATTAATTAATTGGCAACTGATCCTCAGGAGGTACCAATTAAATACACAACAGAATTCTCAACAAAAAAAAAAAAAAAAAAAACACAACAGAACACACGTGCATAGAGATGCATGCATAAGCAGGAGGATTATTCAGAACAGACGACATCGGGAACATGAAATTCATGTTGTAACATGGATCTGAGAAATAATTATATTACACAAAGGAACTGAGAGCGTTCTTGAGGTTAGCGATTTGTTTGTCTTTCGCAGCAAGCTGGTCGTCTTTCTCCTTGTCCATCTTCTTCAGCTCTTGGATCTCAACCTCCTTCTCGGCCAGAAGCCTCTCGTTCGATCTCCTTCTTGGCGGCAAGCTGCTCATCCTCCTTCTCCTTGGCCTGCTTCTTTAGCTCCTCGATCTCCTTGTCCTTTTCAGCCTGAAGCCTCTGGGTCTCCTTCTCCTTCTCCTCCAGCTCCTTCTTCATCTGCGGGGAGCCTGCGCCTCCACCAGTGGTGATCAGCTTCCCGGTGGTGAGCTCGAACTGGTCCCACTCAGTTTCCACCGGGATGGGGACCTGAACGCCGTACCTGGACCAGTGACGGATTCAGAACAATAGTAAATTAGCTAGTGAGCTGCATTTAAATAAAAAATTAGATACTGATTAGTACTAGGCCAAAAGAGATGAGAGGGCTGAAAACAAGCAGTTCTAGTTTACTATATTAGCTCTGGATTCAGGTAGGGCATGGTGGTGGCCTGATCGAGGAATCGCCTAGATCCCCCACTAACCTGGACCAGTCGAAGACGTCGTTGAGGCGGCGGTAGAGGCTCCTGGCGTCGGGGACCCTCCTGCCGCCGCCAGGGTTGAGCCACCGCACCATGAAGCCTTCCCTGTTGATGGTGATCTGGTGGTTGAAGGTGTTGAGGCATAGCTCCTCCAGCTTCTGCCCGCTGATCAACGCCACGCCGAACACTTCCAGCTCGCGGTGGGTGCAGTGCTGGTTGCTGCCGATCCGAGCCACTTGCTTCCAATCGCCGGGGAGTACGGCCCGTTGTTCACCCTCATCGTGCGGTCGCTTAGGGCAAGCAGCCATAGATTGTTGGAGTCCAACACGAAGCGAGACATTTTCTATTGTTGCATGTTGTTTCTCTCTCTCTCTCTCTCTCTCTGGACCAATGACTACTAATGTTGATAATTATTTGCTTTGCTTGTGATTCGGGTCAGATCAGGTCCTTAAGGCCTATTTTTTAAGAAAGATCTTAAACCCCTTCCAACCAATAGGAGAAGGAGAGAGAGAGTGATTAGTAATCATTGTGTAACTACCTGCCTAATACGTTCAAGGGTAAGACTGGAATATACTAAATAGTTAACAATATTATTAATTAAAAGGGAAATTGCGGAAACTGACAAAAATGCGGATTGGATTGTTTTCTCGTGCGCCGTTCTCCTCCCAACCCTAAAACCGCTTCTCTGCAAAACTCGCCGTCGTGCCTCGCTGGAGACGTGTCGTCGCGAGCCGCTTCTCTCCTGCTCTCCGCCGACTCGGTGACCTGTCGTAGTCGTCCGCCGTCTCGCCTCCACTATGCCGTTAGCAACCACACAGGGAACTCCTTGCCTTTTTGTCGTCGGCCGTTACCACTGCTCTGCTTCGTCGGTGTCTCGTCCCGCCGGCATACCGAGTCCATGGAATTGCCGTTACCATTGCTCTACTTCGTCGGTGTCTCGTCCCACCGGCATACCGACTCCATGGAATTGCCAAAGCATGTTTTGTTTGATAATGTTATGTTAATAACGTAATTTTACGTACTTTACATTCTTACTATATTAGACCGTATTAACAACGTAAGTAAAAATGTTAATAATGTATGTAATTGAAGAAGAATCTCGGCAGTAGTTTGTTGACATTGTTATTAATAACTGGAAAAAGATGATTAATAACAACGACATTAGTTGTTAATAATTATAGTATAAATGTTAATAATCCAGGTGGAAAAATTTCTTCAGTGTTTACCTGACCTGACCGTGTTATTAATAATTGAAGTAGAAATACGTTGACGCGTTAATAATGAGACTAGGGGTAATTAATAATGGTGTCATTGTTTGTTAATAATTAAAGTTAATAGGTTAAAAATCATCTTTGCATGTAAAGCTTCAGCGTCTTTGAGGTTTAATAATTCGAAAAGGGATGATTAATGAAAATGACATTATTTGTTAATAATTATAATTGTAACAAGTTTACAAAATAATCACCGGTTTAAAGCGTCAACGTCTTGGTGTTTTAAAAACTGGAAAAGCGATGATTAATAACGACGACATTACTTCTTAACAATTATAATATATATGTTAATAATCAAGGTGGAAAAATCCCTTCTGTATTTATCTGACAGTGTTATTAATAATTGAAGTAGAAATACGTTGACGCGTTAATAATGGGACTAGAGATGATTAATAATGGTGTCATTGTTTGTTAATAATTAAAGTTAATAAGTTAAAAATCATCTTTGCATGTAAAGCTTCAGGGTCTTTGAGGTTTAATAATTCAAAAAGGGATGATTAATAAAAATGACATTATTTGTTAATAATTATAGTTGTAACAAGTTTGCAAAACAATCATCGGTTTAAAGCATCAACGTCGTGGTGTTTTAACAACTGGAAAAACTACGATTAATAATAACGACATTATTTCTTAATAATTATAATAAATTTTTTAATAAGGATACATTAATAATGGTAACAAAACATGTTACTACCTTAAAATTAAAACGTTAACAATGGTAACAAAATTATTACTAAAGAATCACAGATTAGCAACGAAACATTAATAATAAAAAGTTAATAGTGGTGAAAAAAATGTTGCTTACTTAACAATTAAACGTTAACAATGATAAGAAAAATGTTAATAGTGGTGTAAAAAAGTCACTAACTTAAAATTGAAAAACTATGAATTGGTAACAAAACTTTACTAACTAAAAATTAAAATGTCAATAATTATAACAAAAATGCTACTAATGGAATACACATTAGCAACAAAAATGTTAATAATAAAAAGTTAATAGTGGTAAAAAAACCTGTTAACTTACCAATTAAACATTAAAAATGGAAAAGATTAGCAACAAAAATGTTAATAATAAAAAAGTTAATAGTGGTAAAAAAAGAAGGTTAACTTACCAATTAAACATTAAAAATGGAAAGAAAAACGTTAACAATGGTAACAAAAATGCTACTTCTGAAATACATATTAACAATGGACAGGAGTGATGCCGGATGAGGCTTCGTCGGACGTAGTGACGGACTACAAGAGACAGACGCAACATGCCAACGACAACAAGCGGCAGAAGCGGGTGAACTCGACGGCGGTTGTTGACTGAGAGAAGAAGCGACCAGTCTTTCAAAAAAATAAAGTCGGACAAACTACGGCCAGGACAAAAGACGACTGGCAAACGACGGGCCGTTGAAACTTGCTTGACGGAAATGGGAAGATAGCGGCAGATCTGTGGAGAGAGAACGTTTGGCTGGAAGTGGGAGAAGGGACAGGGCTCGACGACGACGGCTATGGAATCGGCGATGGTGGATTGGGACAATCACGGGAATGGGAGCTGGCAGCAACGACGAGGTGTAAAACAGGAACAAGAGCAGAATCACCTGCGGGTGACGGTGAAGAACAGGCAGCGACGGCGACAAAGGCAGTTGCTTTTTTCGTTGGTGGACTTGAACGACGACTGCAACGGGAGCTAGCTACCCTCGGCGGAGAACTCTTGCTGAGAATCGCCGGCCGGAGAAGGGACGACCGGGAGAGACCGTTCGCTTGCCGACGGGAGGAAGAAGAAACAGACAGCGGGACGGCTTGGACGTTTGCTGGAGGGAAAATAAAGAGACGTTTGCGTGGGTTAGGGTTGCAGTTTTTAATTGTTTTGTGGTCTCCTTAATACCCCTAACAACTATTTAACTAATAACTCCCCAATAACTACCTAAAATTGAGTAAGCCAATCAAAACACTTTAAGATTCTCCTTAAAAAAGAAGCCTTAAGGACCTGAACTCAGGCCATTCTAGACATTGATCAGACTTTTTGTTTGGTCCCAAAGTGCTAGTACCTAGGGAATGTACGGACCAAATGCTACATGAGAAGAGTTGATGAGTACAATATCACTAGAAAAGTTGTCAACCCGTGGGTTGACCCAATTTGACCCTATACTGGTGAGAAAAACGGGTCGCATGCACCTGTCGGGTCGACCACTACAAGGTACTGGGTTGGAGGTCAAATTTTGTCTTATTTTCTTTGGTTTGTGAAATGCGCCTATTTTCCAATTTTTCTTTTCGCCTAACTCAATCTTTGGAATTCTAAGTTGAACATTTGAATATTTATGTTATATAAGTGTGTGCGAATTTTCACTATATGTTGGATCTAAGTACGATATGTTATTTTGGTGTACTATTATATGTTATAACTCATATGTTAGATAAGATTTGATATACTTTATGAGGATTAAGTACAATATAATGACTCTTTCCATATTTTCGAGCCAAACTAGACTAAAACGATTGACCAATTAACCCTTGACCCACTAGCTAGATCGGGTTCGGGTCAACTCATGGGTTGACAACCATGATCACTTGGTTGTGGTTTGATATCAAAAGAAACATAGGAATATGATAGTGTCATTTCAGTCACAAAGAAAAGTTAGACAAAATTGATTAGAAAGCTAAAAAGAGAGGGAGATGATGATTGATTAATAATTACTTCAGCTTTAAATATGTTCCAAATTAAATAAGGGTTTTTAGGCATGATTGTCATGTCATATCAACTTACATTAATGGCCTTGCTTTCCTGATAATTTCTTTTCAAATTTCTTTATTTAATTTAGGTATCAATTGAAAGTTGAATTAAAAAAACCCACGGTAAAAAGGAATTCCTCCACATATTGCCAATGTTTGACCCGGTTTTTAGAAGGGTTTTTCTTCTTCAAAAGTTTAAGCACGGCCAAACACCTCTAAAAGCTCGGCTTTTGAAAAGTCGAAAAGCACTTTTATATAACATAAAAGCAGAAGTTTCGATTTGCAGCTTCTGCAAAAAACTATTTTGAAAATACAAGATTATCATTACCATATTTTAATTTCATTTCACAAAATATAATTTTCTTTCATTTATATAATTTTCAAAATAAAATAAATTATAAAATCATATTATTTAATTTTAAAAAATCTAACAAGATCCATTTTGACTACTTTTTATTGTTTAGAATTTTTATTCGTAGTTTATATTATAAATCCTCTATAGTCATTTTACACAACCTCTCATATTAAAAAGCACTTCTAATAGTTTTTTAGCCAAACACTCAACTATTTTTTTTAAGTACTTCTCTAAAAACTACAGGCAGAAGCTGTTTCTGCAAAGCTACAACAAGGCCATACTAGATAATTAATCAATTGGTGAGTTACTAATGTAGAAAGTCCCATGTTCGAATTCCAAAAATTGCATTTCCCCATCCTTCTAATAGAATTGAATGCACCTTCAACTTCCAAACAAAAAATTGAACAAACACAGTTCACATCTCTTTGAACAAAGTTCAAACAAGGGTGTTCAATGTTTTTGATAACTACGAAACAAATCTACATTAACTTAACCCTACTCTTATGGAGGTTCAGTGAGAGCTCTGAAACTATGGCTATGGCTACATTTGCAGAGGAAAAGGTAAAGATAAAGATAAAGTTTGACAATAGGTTGTCTGGTGTGAATTTGGCGAACCTTTTCTCTGTCATCTTCACCTCCTTTTTATAGCAACAAGAAGTAACTGTCTTCAAAAACCGATCTACTGACGTGGAGCAACGGTTACCTTCCCAACTGCTCTAACGATGTGTTGACGTTGGATGTGACATCCTCTTCAGTCTTGGCCCCTTCCTCTTGATTGATCCTCCCTAGCTTTGCTTGTCAGTTGAGAAAAATGACGAAAGCATGAAGACCCCCTTGCCACACGTGGGTGAGTGTTTGGAACACACCAGGAAAAAATAATAATTCACCACCAGGGGGCATGTTGATGCCGCCCCCATCACATCAGGAGGTCTCCCCTTGGACAAATTCGACCACTCTTAGTCACATTAGGGGGTTATGTTGATGATCACCCCTTGA